CTGATTTCAATGAAACAAACACTCAGTACAGGAAGAACTTTTCCTCAACATAACTATAGATTCCAATTTTTCCTATTCTGGAAGTTTTACTTTTGGTTGAAGATTTAATCTCGATATTTTGACGAAAATTTCAACCAAACTTGAAGATCTTTTATCCTAAAAATCAAAGACAAAAAAAAACATATCACCCTGTAATATTCAATGACAATACTAGATCTCTTAGTACTATTTGTTTCAAGGCAAAATAGAAAAGTAATGGAGATATTATACCTTGAAGATTTAGAGAAATGTGTAAAGGGTTGAAAAATTTGAAAGGGTAGAAGGGGGCTATGGGATAGAATTGATGTACATATGACCCTTGATTGGTGACAGGAATATCATAAAAATTGACCAAAATTAAAAGCACCACCAGCACTCACTTGCACACACACACACTCCGAACACACTCCAGGTTGTAGATTCCACGAAGCTCCTTGGCGTCACCATAGACAACAAACTAAATTGGAAACCACACGTCAGTAAAGTTGTCAAATCCTCCAGTTCCGTCTCCACCTCCTCCGCCGACTCAAGTCCCTCGGAGTTCCTGCACCCGAGCTCCTCAGTGTTTACACAACATTCATACTTCCCAAGCTCACCTATGCCTCCCCCACCTGGTCTTCCTCCCTAAATGCCACACAACGTAAACACCTAGAAAAGTGCAAAAGAGGGCATGCAAGATTATTCTCTCCCCTTCCTACTCCACATATCAAGAAGCTCAACACACTGACCCTTTCGACTCTCACTGACCATCACCACGACCTCATCTGCAAATTTGGTAAGAAGCTTCTACACCATCCTCGACACCGGCTCCTACTACCACCTGAGATCCCCAGCCCGAGAATTGCTGTTCGACACCACAACCGCATCCAGCCCATACGTGCACGAACTGATCGCTATAAGAACAGCCCAGTCCCAACCATTGTAAAAATTATCAATAACTTGTAATGAACCAGTGTATTCACTCCCAGTAAACACTACTCCTTGCACTGTCACTATGTTGAAATGAACTGTAGTTTGAGCTTTTCCCCATCTAGTTATTATATATCTTATTTGTATCACTTGTGTTACTTGTATATTATTTGTAATTTGAAACCCACTCCCCAAATATGTAACTGTATATTTTCAGCCTTCTGGCTGCCAAGCTCTTTCAATAAACCGTTAATTATTATTATTATTATTATTATTATTATTACCACTTTACACACTCACTCATCACTTCACACACTCACCACTTCACACATTCACTCACCACTTCACACACTCACTCACCACTTCACACTCGCTCGCTCACCACTTCATACACTCGCTCACGAATCTTGCATGCAATACAGTACACTGCTTACTTACCATGTTCTCAGATATCTGTGTCAGCAAATTCGGCGTCTTCCTAGGCTACGAAAAAATACCATATATTTTTTTTTTTTTTTGTAAAAGTGGAGTTGTAGTTCTTATACCGAAGAGCTGGATTTTTTCTTCATATTAGGTTTCATAAATTGAATCACTCCTGTACTTATTGAAGTAAAAAACAAAAGGACAAGAAATGAATTTATATACTGTACAGTACTTAATACAGTACATAATAAGAGTGAAATGGTTCAAAGGGACTAGCTATTTGATGAGAATACAAAATGTTATTTTTGCCTTTTACCCTGTACTGTGATAATTTTTTTAAAGTGTGGTTGTTATTGCAATTCCTTTTATTTGAATTCCACCTACAGTATCCGAATCTTCCAGGTACAGGTATCTGAACTTTGTCACCTTTGGTCTCATTTGGTAAAAACTAATTTAGTGCAACAATCCTAATGCATCTGAAGTCATTCATTTGCGTGTCTGCTACCAGTGGCGCTGTAACTGCTTTGCTTACAATTGTGCTAGGCGTATTGGTTGGTGGATGGTGTTAATTCTTAGTTTTGTGCTATGATAAACAATAAAATTGATATGTAGCATATCTTAAAATACAATAGCACATATTATATTATTGTAGTGGATACTCTCACCACAAGCCTAACCGTCTAGCCTCGCTGCGGGGTTCAGCCAACGTGAGTTTCTCTGACAAGCCTCGTCATCTAGACTCGGGGGCGGGTGGGGGGCCACCTGCGACGCTTACTCCGGTCTCATTTCCAGTGGCCGTGTATATATGCTCCCAGTCTCGCCGTTGAAGGACATTCTACCTAGAGCTCTGCAACACGCAACACCTCCTCGGAAGAAGCTCCTGCGCAGCAACTCTCCAGCACCGGACTGTTTTGTATATAATATATTTATATAAGAAAACCGCCATAGCTGAGTTTCCCTTCTCACCTCCATCCTATGTGTGATTCAACATCATGAAACCCCACAATATGTAAAAAAAAATATTTCCTTCCACTCACACAAACCATCATCTGGTCTATACGACACAGTTCAACCCTGCTGACTCCGAGATGTGTGTGATGATAATAATAATAATAATTAACAGTTTATTGAAAAAGTTCTGAGAAAGTTCTGCAGCCCTAAGGCTGAAAATATACATTGGACATAAATGATTTATTACATACATTGACATTGGTGGTTTAACAAAAGCCTTCATTAGAGAAAGGTAAAGGAACATACAGTGAACATACAGATTAATGTTTACAGTGGAGGTCACGTAGGTCATGTGAGCTGAGGTGTTGAATAGCAGACACGTAGTGTAGCAACTCCCTCACAGATGGTGTTATGAGGGGCATCACGTGGAGTAGTAGTAGTTCCCTCACAGGTGGTGTTATGAGGGGCTTGACGTGGAGTAGTAGTAGTTCCCTCACAGGTGGTGTTATGAGGGGCCTGATGTGGTGTAGTAATTCCCTCACAGATGGTGAATGAGGGGCCTAATGTGGTGTAATAATTCCCTCACAGATGGTGTTATGAGGGGCATCACGTGGTGTAGCAATTCCCTCACAGATGGTGTTATGAGGAACCACACATGATGCTGTAGCAACTCGTTCACTACATGGTGTCGTAGCATCATGGGGACACCACGTGGTCTGGTGTCACAGAGTGAGTGAGGTGTGGTCCCAGTCCTCCCTATCGTGGATGGATTAACACAGCTGGTGTTGTGGAGTCTCTGGGGCAATTATCACTGGGTACCCGGGACCTCACTGTGTGAAGGTTAGCTTGGGTAAGACTCAGCTGTTACTGCCAAGTTGTTTTTCACTGAATTAAGCACTGTTCACCACTATTCAACACTGGTTCCATTCCTTTCCTAAATGAAATAGTAACTTATGGCGAGAACTTGTTGATATTCCAGGGGAGCGAGTTGGTATGAGCCAACATAACAGTTGACGTGGCTGCTGCTAGAGCAGCGCCAGGTACGTCTTGACCCTTCGGTGGTCGTGTGTGTGTGTGTGTGTGTGGGTGCGTGGGTGCGTGCGTGCATGCTGTAATGTCACATCAGGGGAAGGGAGCGCAGTCTGGGTGGGTGGTGAGTCAGCAGCGCAGTTACAGCCCACTGCCTCACGAGTCCAGTCATACGTTCACTTACCACACATACACACCCTTCCTCTTCTTGTGTGTATTTTCTTAATATTAACCCACATTAGAGTATTTTAAGGATTATTCCATTTTTCCCCTTTCCATTGAGTCAAACTATTGCTAAACCAAATTTTGACCCGTGTCAGTTACTTCATGTTCTTGTAGGCACATCCAGGTATGTGCAGTCCTCGCTTAATGTTGTCCCAGACAACGTTGTTTCATTAAAACGTTACTACTCTTTAGATGCCCATGACTCCGACAACGTTGTTTTACGACCCGACCGATTCGTTGTCACCAAACACGGACTACTTTGTATAGCGCGCCACCCCCTCTCATCTTGGCGCACTAAGCTCTCTCGTGGAGCGTCACAGCATCCCCAAGCATTTTATCCCCAGTCTTTGTTAAGCTTCCACGGCATATGTGCGTGCTTAAGTGTTTTTGCTATAAATACTGTAACCATTCGAAATGGCTCCCAAGCGCCCATCAAGTGTTAGTGATGCTAGTGTTGCGAAGAAGCAACACAAGACCATTAGCCTTGCTATGGAAATGGAGGCTTTAAACCGTTTTGAGAAAAGCGAACGTACTATGGACATTGGTGTAGCATTAGGTCTAACCCCTACAACAGTGCGTACTATCCGGACCAGCACAGGCAAGATTAAGGCTAGTGTTGGAAGCGGTACTTTTATATGTTTTTTATAAAAATTTCATTGAATTTATGTACAGTATATATAATATATTTTATGGGGGCACAGGGGGGGGGGGCTGGGGAATGTAACTAGCATATTTTCTCTATTTCTTATGGGGTAAATTGATTCCGTTAACGTTGTGTTTTACAAGAACGTAACCAGGACGTTAAGCAAGGACTGGGTATCTGAACTTCTCCTGTATACGAACCATTATTAGTCCTGATGTGCCAGATCTGCTTATTATTTCATTAAATGTTTGATGTGATTATTACATTTGGTTATGCTGAAGATAGTTTTTGTGACTAAACTAGATATACATGTCATGGAGAATTTGTCTCGAGGATTTAGAAATATTTATTACCGTTTCATGGAGAATTTGTCTCGAGGATAAAAAATATCTATTACTGTTTTTTGGGATTGAGCTAAAAAATTATTGGTGTTCATGAAAGGTGTATTTTTCTCATGTGCCATGGGAAGGTCAGTGCTGGAGGTATGTTTCATTCACTGGTGCTGCAGCAAATGAAAACAAACCATCAGTGATCACCAAGAAGTTTATTCTTGCTAAAAGTCTGTTTTAATGATGGAAAGTTCTAATTCACTGGAATATCAAAGGTACTTAAACAATGGAGTAGTATTCCTCACAGTAACTAAGATTGTGTAATGCATAGAGTGATGTGAAGGATATTGAAAGTGGATATATATTTCTAGTGACTGAAGTAGTTATCTGATGGATCGCAGTTAGGTGTATTAGTTGCTGTTCCCATTTTATTTTATTCACTTTTTTTCTAGAAACATGTGGAGCAGTACAGTATGTTCAGCAGCTATGGACGACTGGAAAAACGTTCGAGCAAGAAAGGAGTAGACCGACCTCAGTACTTAAAGGAGCTGGTTGATGAATTTAACTCTACAGAAAGCTGTGGTACTGTCTTCAAAGTCTTCAGTAACTGTAAAATTTTTCTCTATTGCATGTGGCTTTTATGACCCTCAAGGGACTAGCAAGATTACCAATGTGAACATTCCTGGCAGATTTTGTACAGTATTGTCCAATTAATATTATTATTTATTCTCTGTCCACTAAAACCCTCCAAATTGGAAATAATAAGGGGTCTGCCCATTGAAAATTATGAGATTTTACAAAATACATGATGGCTCAATTTGGCTACTTTTGCACTTAGACAACTGATCAGTGAATAAACCAGGGCATATGGAGATGCTTTATACACTAGTGATGTCACAAAGCTTTGCAACTACAACTGCAGAGCAACCTCATAAATTATCACAACCTGTACTCAAATGTATTAAGTTAATTACTAAAATTATTATGTCTAATGCAAACTATGGGATGTTTATACTAAAATTAATCGCTCTCTTGCAAGAATTCCAGCAATGCAATTGCTTCATATCTTCAGTGTAGCGCTGGTAAAGCCTTGTATTCTTCATCAGTCTTCCCCTTAAGCTCTTCAGTCGCTGTTCAGTCATGGCTTTGTTCTTGGGGAGGTCCAGGTCTTCCTTCCTAAATGGTACTGGGAATTGCGTGTGTCCATAGTTCTAGCACTTCTATCGCTTCTAGAGTGATCGTCTTCTAACTCCCATAGGTGTCTGACCTGCTTCTCCAAGCTCGTCTCCGGAACTTTGTTGCTCCGTATCGTCGGTCATTCTGTAGCGTGAGGCGCCATTTGGTATCCCACTGGTCCGTTCACCGTCCAGCCTAGGCGCGTTCGTACAGCGAAAGGAGATCCATCGCCTCCTACTCTGACCTCCAAAGGTACTAATGCGTCCATTGTGATTGTTTTTCGTGCCTTTTTAGCTTTAGGCACCCCAGAGGAGGCAGATGGACTTTTCCAGACATGCTCAATGGGGAAAACAGCGTTTAACACTAAAAAGGTACGTGATATACACACAATGTAAATGAGATCACAGAGAAATAGTAGTGCTGGTTAGGTTAGGAAGGACGTCATCACAGTAATTGTACAGAATACTTCATTATCATTATTATTAGCAATAATCTTTATTATTACATTATAATTATTATTATTAATAATAATATTAAAATTATTGATGTTGATATGACTGTAACTTCATAGTAATAACTTACAAGCACCTCACCAGGCATCACACGCGACTCCACTGCCAGGCGAATACTCGCTGCAAATTTAAACTGTTTTGAGCGCGTTATTAAAAAAGATGCTCGTAAATTAGCTTTTGGTATTAATTGAACAATCGCGTTATTCCAAAAATGCTTAAATTAAACGCACGTAAAATGCGAGTTACCTGTACAGTAATGGAGTAAAATTTTTATCTCTTCTGCAAAATATACGATGTCTATTCAAATTATTCGCTGTCTTGCAAGGTTTCCGGCAATGCAAGATATATTTGCTAATTTTAGTCTGTAACATTTTATAAGATAAAAAACTTTAAGCCTAAAACTACCTTCACCCTGTTTTGGGAATGCTTCTTAGGGAGGCTTCTTAGCCCAGAACCCCCAATTTTTTGTCCGAATCATCTGAAATCCGGATTTATGGGGTTCGTCAGGATCTTTGAGGGTTTACTGTACAGGTGCTCCTCTAATTATGAACGAGTTACGTTCCTGAGGCTTGTTTGTTAGTCCAACTTCACTCTTGTAGATACCAAACACAATGTAAAAAATGAAAAGATTATGGATATTTAGTACCTCTATACCCTTTAATACAACCTTAAAACCTGGCTCACTCTTCTCCTCATTGGTAATGTTTGTTCTATTTTCTTCCAAATAATCCAGTCTCATCCACATTAAACACCTGTTCTGGCAGGTAATCCCCCTCAGTGGTGATGCTTGTATCTCTGAAATTTTGTAAGTTGAACGCTCTTAAGTAGAGGAGCACCTGAAATCTTGGCAAATTTCTTTGTCCATCAACCGTATAGCAATACAGGTACAGTATTTTTTGTTTTATCTTTTTATTGGTATTTTTATTTATTCCCCACATTTACTGGTACTATATAATTATATTATTTTAAGAAAACTGTGGCTATAGGAACAAAATGCACACAAGTTTTTTCCAAATTACTGATATGGGGGCTACCTCTTATAAGCCATAAAATATGGTATGTCTACCTCGCTCTCCGATGAGTCCACGCACGCAAGAAATGTTCATTCCTTTTATGTTTTTTATCTTGTCTGTAATTTTTTTAACATATTCTGTATGAAAGATTGCGTGTGTGCAACAGACTATAAAAATAAATGAAGAAAATTACGTACACAGTATCTACCTGAAATTGCAAGCTAAAAAATAACATTAACACAGCTCAAAGCTTGGCACACCGACACTGCACTCACTACTGGGGATGTAAGAAATGTTTATTCTCTTTGTTTTTGAACTTATTATAATCTCTTTTTTGGGTATGAAATTATTTGTAGTGACAGCTGGGGGATCAAACTTACTACTGTACACATACATACTGTATCCTGTAAGGCAGGCATGGGCAACCTTTCCTCAGTCATGGGCAACCTTTCCTCAGTCATGGGCTGCATTACGATTTTGGTATTTCTCTCTGGGGCAACCCACCAAAATTTATATCCTGCCTTACCCAAAAGTAATGATAATATTATATTATCATGGACAGTGAAACAGTTTATTCTCACGTCCACCTTATGATATTTTCAGTTTACAATCGGTCTTTTTCTCATTTATGAAACAAATTCATCATAATATTTTCTTAAGTAATGTGTTAATGTTTTTTGACATTTAACAGAAGATGAGTGAAGCAGTCTGTGAATACATTGATTTTTCATATAGTTACAGCATTTTTCTTACTTTTGAGACACTCCCACTATAATAATGTTAATGTTCATCTTGGTGCATGTTGACCTACAATGAAACCTAATACAGGTATACATATGGAAAATGTGTTAGATTTTCATCTCTCAAACCCGGAAAAAAAAATCCCCCATCCTCGGAATTTTCTGGGTACTGGGAAAATTTTCTTGGAATTTTCCAGAGATGTGCCTCTAGGATAATCGTTCACAAAGCCGGGATTTTCAGGAAAATTCTGGCTTTGGGAATGATTTTCCAAGAAAATTTCAATTCCGGCCTTCGGAAAGTTCCGGGTTTGAGGGATTCCAGGTAACGGAGATAATACTACAGGGTGGCTAAATGATCTTCCTGATTTCAAATATTTATTATAAAGAAACTAATAATGGTAGAGCAAAAAGTAACATACAGTACATACTTACAAAGAAATGTCTAAAGTATTTTTTTTTCAATCTATGATATTTCAATATGTGAACTCTTTGTGGCTCTGAATAAACAATTATCTGTAACCGTTGGATAGGGCCCGGGGGGGGGGGGATTAATTGGCCACCTTGTTGACCTGACCTCACTCCCCTTGACATCATTCTTTGGGGCTATGTCAAATGTGAAGTGTTTCTTCCACCAATGCCAACATCTTTGGAGTAATTGGAGAACAGGATCCAAAACGCTGTTCTTAAAAATAAAGTCGATATGCAAGAAAATGTATGAAGAGAAACAGAATATCGTTTTGATGTTTGCGGAGCCACAGAGGTTCACTATTGAAATATCATACTGTAAAAAACAAGCAAAAACTTAAGACATTGCTTTATAATTGTGTATGTTATTTTTGCTTTACCATTTTTAGTTTCCTTATAATAAATATTTGAAATCAGGAAGATCATTTGTAGTCATCATGTACAGTACAGTGTACAGGTGCTCCTCTTACTTATGAACGAGTTATGTTCTTGTTCAGGTGTAAAAGAGAAGGCAGAGACGATTTCTTGGATTTACTTGTGCAGGCAGTCGTACAGAGTTTGAGATGTGTACTGTACCAAAGACAGTCGGGCACTGATCCTCTGACCAGGGTCCGTTCCCCCAGGTGACGGACGTCACCGTCTAAGCACACAAGCGCATTGATACACTGGGTAGCAAAGTAATACCTGGTGAATACGTAAATAACATGACATGACAGACAAGCAGGCACATACATACAGTGTATGCAAATAAGATTGGGCCCCCAAGAATTTGTAGGTTTTGTGTAACATAAACATAGACATATACATGCATAAAAATTAAACAAAGATTGGACATGAACTTTTATTAGTACTTTGTCATATTTCCCTCTGCTTGACCATTTTAATCCTTTGTTGCATGCTGTCAGCTAATTTTTTGAAGTATTGTGGATCAAGGTCTTCAATTCAGATGTGCCTAATCTCGTCCTGCAGGTGCTTGGCAGATGAGGTATTACAGTTTGCCAGCTTCCCCCTTGAGATAATTCCAGGCATTTTCAATGGGATTCAGGTCAGGACTGTTTCCTGGCCACTGTAGAACATCAATGTTATTGTCCTGAAGCCATTTTGTCACTTTCTTAGCCTTATGGCAGGGGGACTGTCGTGCATAAACATATTGCACCCATGAATGTCATAAATATTTAACAAATGATTTTCAAGGACTTCAATGTATCAGTCAGCATTCATTGTCACATTTTTGGGGAGGAAATATAATCCACCCCTACCAACTTCCCCACTAAAACAACCCCAGATCATAACTGTTTCACTGTTTTTATCGTGTATGCTGGGTCGTACCTGCTTACCCCAATTGGTCGTCTCACCTTACCTGGGCGCCCTGTAGTGCATCTGAAAGTGCTTTTATCTGACCACTTTACCTTACTCCACTGTTCTGGTGTCCAGTCTTTGTAGGTATAAGCAAAATTGAGTCATTGCTTGCTCACACGGTTCGTCAGAAGAGGCTTACGTGCAACTCTTTTTGGAGGCGGTGTTGAATTGTGCGTTGTGAGACCTCAGCAAGCAGGCATGGAAGGTTTTTGTTTTAGTTGAGCTGCTGTAATCCTGGGGTCCTTAAGTACTTTTTGCCGCAGTAAGTTATCTCTGCCCTTAGTAGTCTTCTGTGAGTGACCTTGATACATTTTGTAAGGTGGGATAATGTTGGGAGGCAGCCCACAGGCAGCCGCCACCAAGCGTTTAATGGTGGTTTTCCCCGGTCAGTACGTCTACAAATTTCACTCAGTGGTACATTATCCAGCCTCCATGCCAAAATACGGACCTTTTCTTCATCTGTGAGGTTCTTAGGACCCATACTTGTGCAATAGATAAGAAATAGCACCCTCTAAATGACCCCAAAGCAAAATTCCAAGGCACAATACCCCAGCATCAAACATACAAGTCCTCCTCTGATGATTTCATAAAGCACACTAATGCTCAGCTTCTCGCCCTGTGGTAGCTTCTGTCCCAGAGTTGCCAGATGTCACCAAGTTGTGATTGGCCAAGCAGTAGGCTTGGAAATGGAAATAAATTGAACCCAGTAGTTCATTGAAAAATCGTGTGAGGGGTCCCAATTCTTTTTGCGGACACTGTACATGGTATACGTAGCATTGCATAAATACATGATGTAGTCTCGTTTAAGATTCTTAAAACAGTGCTGGAGACAGCTGGTAACTCAAGGCCGCTTGTTTACTATAATACTTCGTAAAAATTATGAATAAATGTAAAAGTGATCGATGATTGGTTACTTAGTTCCCTGTTGCATAATTTACAGGTTGGTTTTTGTTATTTTGTATTATATTATACTACTGTACATACTATAATAAACAAATGGCATCGAGTTACCAGCTGTCTCCAGCAGTGTTCGAAGAATCTTGAATGGGACTGTACACACATATGGGTCGATAATCTTTTATCGTATTTTTGTAGGGGGGGGGCCTCGATAAGTTAGAATTTGGGATAACTCTGTAAGGCCAGAGCCCCATATGTGCCGAGTTATTGAGGGTTTACTGTGTATAGCGAGATGGTCTTAATTCATGATCATCATTTATTGAAGTTTACCTGTATTTCAGGAAAGCACCCTTTGTGATAGCTGGGGTATTCCCGTATCTGTACAAAGAAACTCATAATGTTACCGAGTATTAGGCTAAGTTTAGCTGAGGGTAATTTACCACTTTAGCTATTTCAATCATCTATTTAATGGAAATTTCTGGTATGACCCAGGTTCCAAGGGGAGAGAGTCAAGTGTTGGAGAATGCTTTACTGTTGTGGATTTTGTGGATTGCTTATTTCTTTTTCTCATTTATAAATTGGGATTTTTTTGCTTCATTTTAATCTAAGCAAATTTTTTTATTATCACCAATATTCAGATGCCAATTTCTCTTTTTTCAGAGGCAAGGGAAGAAGTTTTAGCCAACCTAGCTAACTTTGCATATGACCCAATCAACTATGAATGGCTTCGAAAACTCAAAATAATCGACATCTTTTTAAACCAGTTATCAGAGGGCACACCAACCTTGTGCAGTTTTGCAGTGTCTGGACTCTGTAACTTGTCTCTTGGTTAGTGGAGTAAGATTTTATTTTTATTTTCATATATTTTTTTTGTGCTGACATTGTTATTACCTCAATGCTATTACAGGTATAGTCCCTCAAATATGAAACCCATGGGAATAAAATTTAACTCATTTTGATGATTTTCTGGATTCCTGGGTACTAGGTCTACAAGTGTCATAATACAACTGACAATGGAAGCATTATCTAGTGTTTGGGAAGTATTGTTTTACCTTAGGGAGATCCGGGCAACCTTGATAAAGGTTGGAAGTTCAAAGCAGTCAAATATCACTAAAAGAGTTGGTGTAGACGTAAGATATGCCATTTTCTTTCTTACGAAACCTGTCTACTTTCACCACCTTTTGGACTCGCTCCTCCAGAAGCTTTTCCTCTGAGTAACTGAGCAGCTCTTTAGAGTACACCACCCCACGTGACTGGTTAAAGGTGGCATGTAGAGTGTAAAGGCCTGGACTTTGGGATATAAATCCCTTGCCAGCCTATTCAGGATCTTATAAAAGGAAAGTCAAGAACCATGGGTTTCCAAGGGGTAACAAACAATCGTTAGAGATTGACATCTCTTTACTACGAAAATAATCACAATAATTGACACCACTCGCTCAAATATCAAATAAACAATTAAGGGAGTCAAACAATTAAGGGAGTCAAACAATTACGGGAGCCAAACAATGTACAGTGGTCCCTCGGTTAACGAGCACAATTGGTTCCAGAAGGTTGCTCGTTAACTGAAAAATTTGTTAACCGAAACCATTGTTTCAATGGGTTTTTGGGTAATTGGTTCCAGCTCACCGAAAATTACATAAAGTAAAAAAAAATGGTTGTAAAGTACACTTACTTTGAGATGTGTATGTAGAAGGCTCCTGGATGATGATGCTGATGTGAATTTGAAGTGGGAGGTGGAGGAGGAGAAGGGAGAAGGAAGTGGGGGTGGAAGAGAAGCATTTTACTGCTTCTTGGAAGGTGAGTCACCTTCCAAGAAAATGTCAGGAACCTCTGGACTGACAGATTCTCCAGCAGGAACATCCTCTCTCCTTCTTGAAGTGGAAGGCTGAGGGCTAGCATCTTTTTCCCACTGCCTTTTAGTGAAGAAACTGTCAATTTTTGTTTGTGGGGCATTTCTCCTCCTCCTCATCATTAACTAATGTTTGAAGGAGACCACTCTGTCCTCAACATTACAGAAAGCAAGTTCTGCTTTTTCCACACTGGGTGCCTTGAAGCCAGTTTCCTGAACATCTCCCAGTAGTAAACAACATCTTTCAAATCTGAAGTAGACATATGGTCATCACTTTCCTTTTCCTCCTCACCACTGTCAGCCTCTAACATCTCATCCAGTTGCTGCAAGTCCTGGTCCAACTCTGCTTCTTCCGCAAATCCCTCAAAATCATGGACTACTGATGGCCACAATGCTTTCCATGCAGAATGGAGGGATCTAGTGGAGACTTCTTGCCATGAGGACACAATCAATTTTACAGCCTCCATGATGTTAAATTGTGTCTTCCAGAACTGTGCCAGTGTTAGTTCAGGATTAGTGGAAGTTGCTTGATGACACCTCCTCAACATTTTTTTCGTGTACAGCTTCTTAAAGTTGCTGATCACATTCTGGTCCATTGGCTGTATGATTGATGAGGTGTTGGGAGGCAAAAACAACACTTTAACAAAGTCAAATTGAGACTCCAAAGTGCTGGCAAGCTGAGGGTCATGACCAGGGGCATTACCGTATCCATAAGGAGAAGAGCCTTTAAAGGAAGTTTATTGGTGGTTAGGTGACTCTTCACAGAAGGGCAAAACACCTCAACTGCCCATTCATTAAAGAGCTGTCTTGTCACCCATGCCTTACGGTTGGACTTCCAATAAACTCCAAGCTGTCCTCTTACCACTTTTTGTTGCTTGAACACCCTGGGGTTCTCAGAGTGGTAGACAAGCATAGGCTTCAGTGGGAAATCCCCTGAAGCATTGGCACCAAGCAATAGAATGAGACGGTCTTTCATGGGTTTATGCCCAGGTAAAGAGGCTTCATCTCTGGTGATGAATGTCCTTTTGGGCACTTTCTTCCAGAACAGCCCATTTTCGTCCACATTGAACACTTGCTGTGGAAGATAATTTTCTTCATCCACCAGTTCTTTCAAGTCCACTACAAACTTTGCTGCTCCTTCTTTATCTACACTGGCAGCTTCACCATGCCTAAAACACAAAAAATGTCACTTCTTTTCTTAAATTTTTTGAACCAGTCCTTGCTGGCCCTAAACTCTTCAAACTCTGTGCCTGAAGAACCAGGTTGATCTGCCTTTAAATGTTCGTAAATCTCCCTGGCTCTTTCACAAATAAATTCTGTAGAAACTGAATCACCTTTCATTTGTTTTTCCCTAATCCAAATGAGAAGTAACCTCTCTGTTTCTGCTATTAATGATCTACCTTTAAACACTGATAGATTTGTTTCTCACTTTCACTTCCTTAAATTTGTCTTTCTGTGAAAGAATTGTCGACACAGTTGATGTCAACATGCCATATTCTTTGCTAAGCACATTTGTTCTGATGCCTTCTTCATGATTCTTAATAATTTCCTGTTTCACCTGGATTGAAATTGCTTTTCTTGATTTCTTGGGACCCATGCTGGATTCAAAAACAATTTCAACACTAAAATTTTAAGTTTATTTGGTGTAAATAAAGAAAATTTTCTTTAAATCAACACTGCACTGCACTATATATCATCAATATGTAAAATAAATTTCAAAATGACCAATAATTTCACTGTAAAAATGGAAAAAATACCGTAGGTCTTATTTTCTTCAGTTTTATATGTAGAACCAGTCAGTCACTGGTTTTGTAATCAACGAATACAATGCTGTGTCATTTCCTCGTGTGTTTTAATATTCTACGTATTATTAATGAATTGTATTGCTCATTTTGCACACATAACATTAATTCAATAAAAAAGACATTCAGTAATAAACAATAATGAATCTTTTGTACATAAGAGAAATGACGCTGTTTACACGATTATGCACGTCGTCTGCACGTTGGCGGGCCGTTCAAACCCGTCGAAATTCAAGTTTCCGCCGTCAAAATTTTTATTTATTTATTTTTTTGTGTGTTCCAATAAAATACGTTAAGAATTAAAAACTCGCGAAATTTGAGAAGCTACTATACGACATTTAACCCTTCAATATGTCTTCAAAGAGACCATGATGCAGAGAAAGTGGTGCTAGTGCTTCCAGGCATAAGCACAAGTCACTATCTATCCAGGAAAAGGGTGAATTTCCATGGTCCGGCAATTTCCATGGTCCGGCAATTTCCATGGTCCGGCACCGGTCAGGTCCCGAGGTTGCCGGACTAGAGAGGTACAACCTGTATAAGATGACTTTTTTCTTCACATTTTGTCGTTTTCCACCATGGTCCAAGAGGCCAGTCTCCTTGCAAAACACGAGTCTAGTGTTTTGTGGAAATTAAGTTATGGTGTGAACATTTTGAGCATCTGTTACAGGAAGTGGATGGGAGGTGCAGAAATAATAGACTGGATGTTGAGAGATCACTTGATGGTTGACACATAGGCCGTCGTATATGTTGAGCTGTAATGTTGATTTTTGGTTTTATATCCATTATTTCTTTTTCAGATCAAGAAAACAAGTCTTACATTATTAAAAATGATGGGGTGGCTCTGATACGTGGCTGCCTCTCATCCCCTGAGGAGTCTACTGTTATTTCTGCTATTGTGACCCTTATGTTCCTTGTAACACCTCAGTCAAAAGCAGGTTAGTTGAAGTGTATTTTATCAGACACATTTTGGTAGATGTTTTGTAATACTGTAGTTTATTATTTTATTAGTAATGCAACTCATTTTGCATGATATATTTGTACAGGAGGAGTTTTGCTGTACAGTTTTATGACTTGCATATCTTTACAACTGACCAGGATTTCTTAACGTTTAATTGTATTGATCTATCCTCTGAGACAGCGTGCACAAATTTGTGCTGCCTTTATTCATCCTCATGATTCTTACTTCTCAAACATATTCTGTAGAGCAGATTATTTACTAGGGCATACTTAACTGTTCTACCTTGATGATTTACTAAATGGTTGCTCTCAAACTGCTTCCAAACATAGCTAATGACTCGCATTCAGCCTGTACTTTCTGAAAAGGATGATTGTTAACAGAAATACCTAGTTGAGAGGCTAAAGGCACTGTCAGTGATGATGATGTGTGAACTCCATCCTTCTTGACTCGCCTCCTGTCTGCTAGGCAGTAGTTTCCTCCACGCTACCTATGATGAATCAGAGTACCTCAAGTACTCGGCCAAGTTGTATGTCGGTAAATCTGATGACAATACTGTAACTGCTCTGTCTTTAACTGAAAAAAAATAATTTTAATATCCACCACAGTTGTTGGAAACTGCTTCGGCACCCCCAGAAAGTCGCACACCATACAAGGAGACCCAGACCCCTACTCCAACAACACCAGCCTTGGGTTCACAAGTACTGTCGAATATTTTTTATCAAGAGTAATCTCAGCACAGTTATGATTAAGTGTCCCACAAGGGTTGACAGTGGTACCAGGTGGTTTCAGCTCACATTCGGAAACAAAATATATTTTAGTGACTGACATAGTCTTCTGGGAAAGCCCTGAACACTCAACCCTGTAAGAGGTGTTATTAGGATTAGTGTGACCAAAGGCTTTGACAAAGCATTACTCTCCATTTTCCTGTCTAGTTGTCTCACGCTCGCTCAAAAACACACAAATTTCAGGTTCACAGCTAGTTAGGAATTAGTCCCTAACAAAAATTCAAATAGATCCTGGTAAGTCTTGTTAACATCTGACAAAGTAATTCACCACTTCAGAGACTGTTTAAGGCAAGCTATATATTGTAGGAGGGATTCACCACTCTGTATATGCATAGTTCGGAGGTGTTTCTCATAAGTATTTGTCTCTAGCCTGTACGAGCCTCTCTCAGATTTATAATCGTCAGCAGTATTAGGGGAAGATTGACATAGGATATGTTCCTGGACCCTGATAGTAAGTCGATCCGTTCATAACTCGAAACATTGTAAATTCCCAATAGAATACCTACTGTTGCACAAGTGTGTGACTGCATGGTACAGAGTTAAAGGTCAGCTGTTTAAGAGCGCTTGGCAATACTCCTTTCCCCTCCATCCATCTAATCACGCCCACTTTTTTTCTTTCTCGCTCCATATTTTAAAATGTTATGTTGAAGGGATACACCGTTGCTCATTTATAACTACTGTACTGGTGATGATAACCCTAGATGATAACTTCCATACAGCAGACACCCAACTCTTCAGAGGTAGCTAAGCAGCAACCATTTCTGAAATTTTACAAGCATTAGTATCTATCAGTGTCATACCTGCTACATGTATACTACAAATACTGATACAAATCAAGATTTACAGACAACATTCTTTTCACATTTGTGTCTGTTAACATTGCTGGCGGTCGTTGTAGCCAAGTTAGACTCATCACTGTAACCACCAGGCTATTGTGCAAAGCTGTGAGGTTTTATGGTTGGTTTTTTTGACTTGTATTTTTTGGGTAGATATACGTAACTATTTTTTTATTTTTACTTGGTTTCATGCACACACCTTCTTACATACATACTGTGAAAAAAGTAAAAAACAAATAGTCACGAGGGCAAACACATAAAGGGGACGGGTAGATGGTGCAGAGCATGGGAGGGGGGAGTGTTAATAGGGAGTTGGAGGAAGTAGCATTCCTGCTGGTCTACATTGTTGTGGTGAAGCAGGGAGTGTGTGTGCAAATTATATTATCCTAACTTTAGTCTGAGATATTATATAAAATAAACACCTTAAAGCATAAAGAAATCACCAATCTTTTGTCTGGGAACATAAGGAGGGAGGTAGCCAGTGAGCGTGGGAAAAGTGAAGTGAGGTGACAGTGTCTGGTGTTTGTTTATTTATTTGAGATATGATTTGACAGTTGGCGCTGAAGGCCTGCGTGTTTATTTATCATTACATAAGAGTGACTAAGCTCTTCTCATAATTTGCCACCCAAATGACCTGGGTGAATATAACTTACATTGCTGGGATTCTTGTAAGATAGTGATTTATTTGAATACCTGTATAAACAATCTATATTTGCAATAGACATAACAATTTTAGTACCGTAATCATTTAGTACATGTACAGTACAGGTTTGCACTTAGGTCCATTGTTAACCGAAGGACCACTGTATTGCAGTGTACTTGTACTGTACAATATTGACTAAATTCACTAGATAACATACACAACTAATGGTTGGTAAAACTTGTTAAGTAAGTGAGTGTCAAGTCTGTCAGTATGACTGGCAGGTGTGAGTGCTTGTGTCCCCCATCATAGGAGTCCGTTTTCTCTCGCTTCAGGACTCCTGAGTCCTCCGTTTTCTCTCTTAATCTTAGAGTGCACCAGAGACTTCGTTATTTCTTAGTAATGACACAGACTTCGATATTGCAATCCCAATTGCAACTGGGGTTGCAATTGTTGAGGCAACTAGATATGTCTGATTACAGCAAATGTGTTATTGTCAATTTGTAGGTGAAAGATTTTATCCTCAGTAGATGTAGGTTAACATTACACCTGGAGGCAAATGCTTACTAAAGCCTAAGGAAGGATATTCCTTTAACACAATATCTGGCCAGTATGGGAAGGATCATCGTGTCTCCGTCGGGGTCGTGGAGTGGTGGTCCAGCAGGCGTCACAGAAGTGGTTATTTTGTTTTTGTTTTGGGGGGGCATGGACTTATATGCGATCGGACGTTGTTCGGTTGGACGTTAACCGGCGCATGACTGTATACAGACTAGTCTGTACTCACCCTGAAGATGTGGATTACCTGGCGCTTGGAACCGTGTTTTCTTCTTTCCTTGTGGTTATCAGCATATACCCGAATCCGCGCACCTACAGTGATTTACTTGCATATATATATATATATATATATATATATATATATATATATATATATATATATATATATATATATATATATATATATATATATATATATATATATATATATATATATATATATATATATATATATATATATATATATATATATATATATATATATATATATATATATATATATATATATATATATATATATTATATATATATATATATATATATATATATATATATATATATATATATATATATATATATATATATATATATATATATATATATATATATATATATATATATATATATATATATATATATATATATATATATATATATATATTTATTTTTATTTTTTTTTTTTTTTTGTAGAGGTAGCCAATTTTTTATGGGAATTAGCCAACCCGGCACAGGTCAAACTTAATTCACAACGGAGCCTGGGGGCGAAAAAAAGAACGGAAAGAAATTGAAAATATAGAAAAAGGTTATACTGTATTAATCTACACCACGAAGATGCCGGAAAACCAGCTTTTTAAAGTGAGACAGATTGTAAGAGTTACGGAACACAGAAGAAGGCAAAAGCATCCACAGTTTGGCTGTGTGAGGAAAGGATATGTACTATAACGGCTATTCTCGTGTGACCGATATCAACAGAGAATGGTGGCACCGCGGGCAAGACGTGTTACGAACTCCACGGCCTTACCGGGCGTACAGGATGCCAAATCCTGAACATTGCCCGCAGCACCTGTAAAAGGGAGAGAGTGAAGCAACATTGCGGCGAAGAGAAAGGGGAGAGATTGTCGACAAGGAGGAGAGTTAATAAGACGAAATGCCTTGGATTCCAATTATCTAATAGTTTGACAGAAGAGCCAATTCTGATATGAGAGCAGTACTCCAAGTTAGGACGAATGAATCCCTTATACTTGGAGCAACTGCTCAGGAGTGAAGTAGCTGGCGGTATCTGTACAGCATTCCCCAACTTTCGAGTGCAGCTTTAGTTATACTAAGGATGTGTGATTTCCAGGACATATTGGAGGAAACAGAGGCCTAACATATTTATTTCAGAATTTGGGGGATAATAGCATCCTGAAATGTAATTGGTGGGAGATCGCCTACTTTACAAAGTGTAATTGGTAAATATTGAGTTTTGTTACTATTGAACTTAACCAAGCTTGTATCTCCCTCATCAGATGCTGCACAGATCCGCTGATAGTAGTAATGATATCAGTCTAGAAAACAGATCTAGTTTGAGAGTTAGGAGGAAGGGGAAATGTGAGGAAGAGGGAAGAGTAGAATCATCGCATAAGAATGGATAGGAATTAGTTGTAGTGTGAAGTAAATCATTGATAAAAAGAAGAAAGACAGTTGGTGAAAGAATAGAACCTGTGGGACGCCACTATTGGTAGAGAAAAGAGGCGGTGAAATCGATCCCCGACAACAACTGCCATGGATCATTCTCAAGGAAGCTAGAGATAAGAGAAGAAAGTGGGGGAGAGAAACCAAAAAGACGGAAGTTTAGATAGCAAAGACTTGTGCCATACCCTGTCAAATGTTTTGAGATGTCGAGGGCCACGACAAAGTTTCCCCATAATCCCTAAGAGGATGACCAAAGATGGTGCAATAGGAGAGCAGATCACCAGTAGATCTTGCTCATGAAGCCATACCAGGATCCGACAAAAAGAGAAAGGCGTCAGACGGTGAGAAAATGGAGTTCAAGATAGTTTCGAAAATCTTAGAGAGGATGAAGTTAGGGCAATGGGGCGAGCAGTTACCAGAGAGGGATTAGGAATGGTCACCCTCTTCTTCGGGATGGGCTGAACTAAGGCATGCTTCTAAGAAGAAGGAAAAGTTTTCGTTTTGAGGCAGAGGCTTAAAAGAGGCGAGCAAGCACAGGGCCAGGGTTTCAGCACACTCCCTCAGAACACGAGGGTATTCCGTCCGGTCCATGCGCCTTACTCACATCCAACCTGGATAACACACCGGCAACCTGCGAGTGGAGATTATAGGAAAGTGCATAGGTTCAGTAGGAGGTGCAGGGGTAGGAGGTAGAGTGGGAATCGCCTAAGGTGGAATTAGAGGGAGAATAAGGTGCCAAAGAGGTTGCTTTCTCTCAGGGGAGCTGGCTATAGGACTTGAAGTTGGACTAAAGAGGGAGGAAAAGGCCATGGCAGAAGTTACAGATGTTTTAGCTAAGGACCAGAAGGATTTACTAGAGGAAGAATTAGTCAGACAGCAGTCTTTTCTTTTAATAAAATTCCGCTTGGCCCGCGAAGAATAGCCTCCAACAACGATTCCTAGAAGTAATGAAAGAGGTGGGTAATAGGAGAAGGAGATAGTTTCATAGCTCAATATGCCCTATCTCTCACCCTGCAAGCAAGAGAGCAGGAGCGATCAAACCATGATTGTAATGTGAAAGTTTTGGAAGAAGATGGATAAATGCACTCATACTCTGTATAACCCCAGCAATGCTGTCAGCACATACTGAGGCATCCCGAGTGGAAAGCAAATATTCATCCTATGGAAAGTCGGTGAAGAATTCTCGCAAGGATTGCCAGCTTGCCTCCGATAGTGCCATAGTTGACGCTAGGAGGGGGTGGGGAGTGTGGTCGTGCCCAGTTTGATTTAATAGAACAATGTTGTGATCAGAAGACCCTAAGGGGCAAAAAATTGAGTATGACTAGTGTGAGGGGTTAGAGGTAAACAAAGATCAAGAATAAAATAGCAAGTTGATCGTGTCGATCAGGAACGCGTGTAGGGTGTTTGATTATTTGTTCCAAATCATTAAGTAAGGAAAAAGAGTGCCTCAGCTCCACCTGGGTCATCCCTTGCAGAGCCAAGCCACTCTCTGTGATGTACATTGAAATCCCCTAGGTAGAGGATCTCGGTGTTGGGGTGTGTGGATAGCAACGACTCATGGCAAGAAGTGAGATAGTCAAAGAGTTCGAAATAGTTGGTAGAGTTGGGAGAACAGTATAGGAAACAAAGAAAAATAGTCACAGTAGGTAGAGATATTTTGAGCCAGATGACATCATAAAGGGGAGATTCAAGATCGGTGAGTCGGGCTATAGGTGTACGTGTGTTGCAGTAGGCGCATACACCTCCCTTAGAACGGAAGTAGGTATAAAGGTTGTAGTTAGAGACTTGAAAAGGTTTGGGTGAAGCTGCTTTGGTCAGTTGAAGTTCGGAGAGTAGTAAGAGATCGGGGGAAAAGAGGTTAATAGATGGTGCTCCACAGAAGAAAAATTGGATCTCAGTCCGCGAATGTTGGAGAAATGAAGCGTGAAAAAAGCCGATCCTCCAGCAACTAGTCTATAACCCCCCCCCTCGTTTATAGGTCGACCCTGATTTTTTGACCAAGAAATCGTTAATTTACGATATTCCTCGTTTATAGTTCGACCCACGTTTTTGAGGGTAATGGAACAACAAAACCTTCACTAAAAACGCTCTACGTCCTATAAACTGAGGCTCGCCGTGCATGAAACACGAGTGCCGAAGGCAAATTGTTTACCATTTATTATTATGACACTTTACACTGAAATGCGGGTAGTTTCAACAAAAATATTGTATATTTCCATTCAAGTATTTATTCAAGTCAGTTAGGAGGGAATATTGTTGTAATACAACAGTTTTTAACTAAACCATTCGAAAAGCGATTACGGTAACATCTTTTGAACGAAAGAAAGCGAAAGTCATTGTTTTCGTCACGATTTTATCCCACTTTCCACTTTAATACGTACGTAATTTCAGCAAAAATATTACATTTCCGTGAATGTATTATATCAAGCACAGTATGAATAGAATATCATTGTAATATAACAGAATTTTAACCGAAAACTATTAAAAAAACGAGTAACATCTCAAGAACAGAAGCTTAGGTAAAGTCTTTTGTTTTCGTCATGTATTTTATCCTATTTTACATTGAAATACATCATGTTTCAGCAAAACTACTATTTATTTCTGAGAATATATTCATTCAGGCACAGTTAAGGTAAAATATACATGTGATGTAACAGTTTTTTAACTGAAAACGATTCGAAAAACAAGTACCCTCTAGCCCTGTTAAAGGAGAGGACTGGGAGAAGCTGTTTGGCGCTGCAGACGATGGCAAGGAAAATGATTTGGATGAATTTTAATGAAAATATTCAGAAATATGGTATCGTAGTATTTATTCAAGTCAATTAGGATAGAATATTATCGTAATACAACAGTTTTTTAACTGAAAACCATTCGAAAAGCGATTACGGTAACATCTTTTGAACGAAAGAAAGTGAAAGTCATTGTTTTCGTCACAATTTTATCCCACTTTCCACTATAATACGTACGTCATTTCAGCAAAAATATTACATTTCCGTGAATGCATTATATCAAGCACAGTATGAATTGAATACCATTGTAATGTAACAATATTTTAACCAAAAACTATTAAAAAAACGAGTAACTTCTCTTGAACATCGGAAGGTTAGGTAAAATATTTTGTTTTCGTCATGTATTTTATCCTATTTTACATTAAAATACATCTCGTTTCAGCAAAACTACTATTTATTTCCGAGAACATATTCATTCAGGCACAGTTAAGGTAAAATATACATGTGATGTAACAGTTTTTTAACTGAAAACGATTCGAAAAACACGTGTACCGTCTAGCTGATACAGTTGGTGGTGCGTCATGCGTCGTTGTAAACAATAGGAGGTTGAAGTAGATTACCGGGTATTATATTAAGTGTGAAATATCGAAAAGGTTTTTATTACCGGTATTTTTTGTAGATCAATGAGAACTGTGATACTGAATATGATATGATAAGTTAGCCTGTGCTAAGAACTTCAACATAGACTACTGAAAGCACATTGTATGGTAATTTAGCCCATTGTAAGTTGGTGAGCTTCATTTACTGAAGGAACTGCACAACTTTTCATTACTAATTGGTACATATTTTACGTTTCCATTGTTTACTGGCGGTAAATGGTAAATATTTTTCATGTCTGAAGCTAAAAGTTGCTCCTCGCCCTTCCCATCATGCACGGGTTCAACCTAACAAAACTATTACGCATGTATAGGACGACCCCCAATTTTTTGCCTAAAAATTTGGTCTTAAAAACTCGAACTATACACGAGTATATACGGTATATATTTATATATATACAGTGGGGTATGCTATAACGAACGGATCCTACTACGAATATTCCTATAACGAACGGTTTTCCTATAAAATTGAGAATGCTATAACGAACGACACTCCTACAACGAACATTATTTAAATTTTTTTTTTTTCTAATTTATTGTTTTTTATTACAAATATTAATGATATTCTTTATTTCAGGGGTTTAGATGCATATTTATGCACTTTTTTACAATTTTTACAATTTTATATTATATTTTTCAGTGTTAAGTGGTTGTATTTGGGGGCCTGGAACGGATTAATCCTATAACGAACGAATGCTATAACGAACAAGGTTCTAGAACCAATTAGATTCGTTATAGCATACCCCACTGTATATATATTGATAATTTTTTTTTATCTTTCAGATATCACTGGTACAGAAGTGGTGCAGCAAATTTTGGTCAAAGCTAACGGTGATAATCCAAGAATTCGTAACGTGGCCAAGATTTTTTTAAATGATTACTGTACCCCTGAGCAAGTATTGAAAGCAGAGACAATGTCCTAGATTTATCCTGTCTGTACAGAATTTGTGAAAGCAGATTTTTGGGAAATGCTGATGAAAATTACTAAGAATAATGAAGTGAAAACCTAAAATATTAACTGTTGATTATATGATATGATATATCATAAATGGAAAATTATTGTTAATTTTTTTAATATCGTTATAACTAGCAAAATTTAATTTTCTACGAAATATCCAAAGTTGATGATGGCAATTTGGATTCGGTAATTTTCATGTCACTAACATTAATGGTCCCATTTAGATTAGGCTTAAATTTTTCTAGAAAACTTACAGACAAGTGTGTCAGATGTATGTCATTGAAAGTAGGTGACACTGCAAGCTTAAAAAAAAAGATCACCTCTGAAGATATTGAAAAATTTGCTGAGTTATCAGGTGATAAAAATCCTATTCACATTAACAGACATTACACTCAGGCTAAGACCAACTTCAAAGACTGCCTTGTTCATGGTGCATACTTAAACAGTCTTGTATCAAATGTCATTGGTACTCAGCTTCCTGGCCCTGGGACAGTGGTTGTAAGAGAAGAGCTTAATTTTCCATATCCGTGTTATGTTGGGGAAGAGATTGAAGTGATTGTTAGGTTGTCAGGACTAAGAAAAATCATCTGTGTTGACTTTTCATGTGTAACTAGTGATGGACAAGTTGTTCTTTGTGGGAATGCTAAACTTGTACGATATGCAAAATTGAGTGATAACAGCTAGTTGAAAACAGAATCTGCTTCAATGTCGCATAAAGATTAGTCATCCAGTGAATGAATTAAAGCAGCCAAGTAACAAAATTGTGGATCACAATGAGTGGTGGAAAAGAATTGGTGTTGAACACCCTAAGGCGTGCTACTAGCCAAGAAGCAGACACCCTGAAGCCCGCAGAGCAACAGCTACAAGAATGGGAAACAGAGCCAGGATTTTATTCCACTTTAGTTGAAGTGAGTTCCCTTCCCCCCCTCCACAAAATAAAGTGCAGTACAGTAAACCCTTGTTATTCATGGGGATTAGGTTCCAAGGAATGGCGTGAATAGGCAAAACTGTGAATAGCAACTTATACTACCTTAGTGAACTACTGTATACCTATACCAAACAACAGACCAGCTGCAGCAGCACTCATCCCCTCTTTTAACTTCACAATAATTCAACTTTCGTTGTCCGGGTCATCACTGATTTCTGCCTTTTACATTTCACTCCACTGACACTAGGCAGTCTTTTAGAGGCCATTTCACACAAACACTAAAGTTTTGAGAATACAACACAAGATGCTGTGTGGGGTGACTTGTGCTGTGGGAAAAGGCTCGCAGGCTAGCCACCATCTGCTTACTGGAACCGTCGGAATCGCGAATCACAAACCCGTGAATGGCAAGGGTCTACTGTATATTCTTTGGTGCTTATGTATGTGTATGTTTGTCCATATGTATGTATGTTGAGTGAAGAGAGAAAGGTGTGAAATTTACCAGATCACATATTTATATTTTAACTGATAGAATGAATTGGGATACTCATGTACTATGCTGGCAAGCTTACTGGTTTACCCAAGTATTCTCAGGAGAGGTAGAATAGCTACTCCAGAAATCAGTAAACCCAGAAAGACAAAGATATGATGTCATTGGGTTCAATGGCAGGTCCTATAAACAAAGGCTGGTATTTAACCAGTGCCCTAAGTCAAGAAATGTGAAAATAAACTGCCAGATCATGGCCTCCATGACCTCAGTTCCCCAGTCTCTTTTACAGGTGATTGGGCATCTCTCACATTATAGCTTTGCCTTGTAGCAGCTAAGTGATTTATTTATTTATATAGAAGATTATTTTAAATAGATTAATTGCCACATTATCTTAATACTTTCGGTATACTGGGTAGGTATAGCTTTTATGTTCATGACATGTTTACAGTTGCTTAACAACCCAACAGGTAATTGCACTACACAGCCTTAGGTCCATTGCCAGAAAGGATAATGGAGCTTTGATGCTCCCAGATGATGGCCTACTGAGAGGATTTAAAGGTTACCTTATAGGTTTCTTGAAATAGGATGTCAGAAACCTTGAAGATTCTTCTAGGCTACATTGTGCCTGATCATAGGGCATCTTCTTATGGAGTAGATTTATTGATTTATGTACTGTATGTGAAAATCCATAAATTGGGTGCCCTTAAATTGGGGTCAACCTGTACAGCAGTGTCTTATTCAGCAGTTTCTGTGTATTAAACTATCAGTTAAACTACCATTTGTGTTTGTTATTATATACGGTATGCAGTATACAGGTATGTTTAAGGAGATCAATTTCTTCAAAATACACACTTCAACAATTTTACACAGAAGAGGGGAGTGAATTTGGAAGAATATGAAGTGTGTCATGGATGGCGCAATCAGAGAAAACCTTGAAATGGGTCATCCCTCATAATATGAAGGCACAGTACATCATTAATTTTCATAAGTACTGTATTATCTATTATCTTTCCAGATATTCTCAGAATATGGTTTAGAGGTCAATGTCCGGTGGCTGGCAGTACTGTATTTCAAGAATGGCGTTGACCGATATTGGAGAAAAACTGCACCCAAAGCAATTAACGAGGCAGAAAAGGTACTGTATGGTTTACAATTATGTTTCTCTTATGAGTCGGGAAGTTGTTGATTTAATAAAGTTTGTACAGTTATAAAGCATATTCCAGAGCAGCTCTGATGGAATGTTACGGAATTGTTGTTCCATCTAACTTTCATTCTGAATTTTCCATTACAAGTTTAAGGGTTTTTAATTGAAACTTTCATATAACACCACAAATGTTGTTAGTGTGTAGTGTATAATATGTATACAGTAGTACCCCGATTTACGCGTTCAATTGAACCCACAGGGTACCGTGGAAAGTGAAAACCGCGTAAGGTGAACAACAGAACATATGGGATTAATTCCAATAGAGACTGGCCCGACCCCCAAACTCCACTTTTTCCGACACAATACCTATGTTGTAGTAAAAATAACATCTAAATTTTATGATGGTATGCTCACACAATTAATATTTAAGAGAAATACAGTCGCCAGGTTAATGTCCATTCAAATAATGGACTCAAATCCCCCCACCCCCTCTTCCCAGCTCACTAGCTCCTACCTCTCTGAGAAATGTTTGGGTGAAACCACTAGATTTTAACGTTTAGTAATAAATAATACCTCAGACTAAAGTTAGGATAATATAATTGACATTTCTGGATTCCTTGCAGGTCAGGGAATATTTTGAATGTAAACTTCATATATTTTGCACAAACGATAAAATATTTGCTTTGTGTAAACCAAATTATTACATTAGATCTAAAATTTGTATGTCTAATGCAAAATCCATGATGTTTATATTCAAAATGATCATCATATTGTAAGAATTCCAGCAATGTAAATTATATTCTGGCCGGGTAATTTGTATGAATTTTATGAGCTAAATAAAAAAAAATTATACTTCACCGCGTATATGAGTAGATGCACCGCGGAAAAGTGAAAGTCCGGTTCTGGCAAGGTACCGCGTAAATGAGAAATCGCGGAAAGTGAAACCGTGTAAAGCGGGGTAATACTGTACTGTAGTTCTCAAATGATGTTGTTGTGTAGAATATAATATGTATAGTTCTCACACCCCAATTTAGAATTTATATTGGGCAGCCTTTGGGCATGAAAATAGATTTTCTGTGGTTATGCAATTTGATCCACAGTTAGCCACATGTTTCGACTATTAGTGAAACAATGGATGGATTTTGACTTGAAGTCTTGTTGGAATGAAAGTAAGGAAGTGTAGATGTGATCACTTAATGTATAATAATTTATTTAAAGAAAGAAGAAATGGGTAAGTTTTGGGAATATGGAAATTTCAATGATTGGAGTAGAGTTGAATCAGTTTAAGATCATAATTATAGAAGGTGAGGTAAAGTTGTGTTAATACTGAGGATTTGGAGGATTTGGAGTGATGAAAGATGAGAGGAATACAATACAGTACATGTATAATACAAGAAAGGTATGATGAAAAATGCAAAACTAGCAAATGAAAGACAAGGAGCAAGGTTGCCATAGGGTATTAAAGAGAACAAGAAATTATTTTGTAAATTGTAAGAAATGGGGAAAACAATAGAAATAACAGTTAAGAATGAAAGGGGAATATATATATATATACTATATTGAAAAAAAAGTTGGAGTGGGTGAAAGGGAGCTTGGGAGATCATTTTTAACACATTCTGAATGCAACTGATGAGCAAGAGACAGAGTTATCCTTTAAGAGCTTGAGGAATGAAATGGTTGACTTAAAAGAGTAAAAAATGATTTAAGGAACAGATGACAGAGGCTCTATAACTTGGAGAATAGTAAGTTGCCAGGAATGAAAGCCAGCAGAATGAGTGGCTGGTTCATATAGGTTATGCATGTCAGAAGGAAGGATACTGTATGCACCTGTAGAATGGCATAGAGCAGTACAGTAAAATTTCCCTGTAAAAGAAAATGTGAAAGAGGGAATTAAAAAATTAAAAGGAATATATCTGTTAATTATATCTAGAAAGGTATTACATTTTGAGACAATTGTGGCACATAATGAACACTTATTAGGGAAGGTTGATGTGGACGTACACAAGGAATACCCTGTGGAGTGCTTTACCTTCCTGTTTGTTAGCTGTAAGGAAGGTTCTGGATAAAGGATATTCAAACATGCGAGGAAAAAAAAATGGTGAATAGGGAAGAAAGATTGTCGCTGAACAATTTAAAAAATGGGTGAATAGGTAGTAGGCAGCTACAAAACAGGGAGGTACTACTACCTGGGAAGATATTGGAAGCATAATGTGTTGTCGAATGGTAGACCCTGCTGCCATATGGCATCACAAAAACTGTGATCAAGTCCCAGGTTGCTGATCTGACTTTCTGCCTCATTTACACACAGTTGCAGGGTCTCAATTGTTTCTCTTACTTTAACAACACAACATACCGTATATCTCGGCCTATAAGGCGTCGGGGTGCATAAGACGGCCCCCCCAAATTTCCATTTAAAAAGTAGCTTTTGAGCTCTATTCGCTGTATAAGACCAGTACCCCAAATGTGACACTTACCCACTGACTCAGTAGTCCTCTACCAACCATCCTTGGTTTTTTAAAATAAGGCCAATTCACTTCAAGTAATGTCATCAAATGTTACCCGCTGGTGTAGTGTAAACACTAGTGACGTCACTGAAGCGTCTGCTATTTACCGGTAACTGGAACTAATGTCGGTGTCGAGTAAAATTTGCAGGGTCTCAATTGTTTCTCTTACTATTGACCACACAACATATATTGTTTCTCACTTTTGATCTTTTTTTTGAACGTCTTTATTATTATTATCATTATTATTATTTTTTAATTTATTTTTTATAATATTTTATTTATTATGAATTATTAATTATTATTATTATTATTATTATTATTATTATTATTATTATTATTAATATTACTATTATTATTTTTTGCCCCCAGGCCCTGGATGTGGGTCAGTACCAGGTGGGCTAATCCCAGTAAAAAAATAATACAAATAATAAAACAAAAATTCCATCAATATAAGTTATATTCTCCCCAATATTCAGGAACATTTTATAAGTGAAAACTTAAATTCTCTACTGTATATGACAGATAAGACACAGGATTAATGTCCGCTGGCTGGTGAATACCCCCCACCCTCCCTCCTCCCCCTGCCTGGCTGTCAACACATCACCTCCCTTCCCAGGTGGTGGATGTACTGTAGTTTTAAGCTTAAAATTTTATCTTATAAAATGTCTAGACTAAAGTTAGGAGAATAATAATTTGCATTGCTGGAACTTTGCAAGATAGCAAATAATTTGAATGTAAACATTACACACCTCAAATAAGGCATAAGGGATTGTGGACCTGTATTACATAACAGTAGTGATTTATGAGTTCTAGTGTATCTGGGTAGACTCTCAGTCAGGCAGGGGAGGGCCAGATAAAGTAATGAAACACTAAGTTGAGAGGAAAGTGAAAGTGCTTGGTGAGTGGTAGGGATGGAGTGAGGCAGACGGAGGCGGGCGGTGAGCTGCGCCATTGCCACCACCTCTCACATCAGCTGGTCGTTAGTAAACAGACCATTTCGGTCCCATAATTTTAGCCGTGTTGATTTATGAGTGCTTGCTGCATATACTGTATATCATATTTTTCTCATATTTATTAGTTAATAAAAGTCTTTTAGTATTTTGTGTTTCTCTCAAGTACCAAATTGAATTACAGGTCTCTTGGTTAACGAGCACAATCCGCTCCAGCATGCTCGTTAACCTAAAAACTGTTAACCGAAACCATTGTTTCAATGGTTTTGGGTAATTGGTTCCAGCCTCAGAAAATTGCCTAATTAAAAAAAAAATGTAGAAAAGCACACTTTACTTTGAGGTGTGTGTATGAGAGCTCCTTGGGATGATGATGATGGGATTTAGAGTGGGGATGGAGGAGAAGGAAGAAGAGAAGGCATTGGGGTGAAGAGAAGTCACCCCATGGTGCCATTTCACCCATAAAATTTTAGTTCTCTTGGTGTAATTGAAGATTATTTTCTTTTAAATCAACACTGCACTGCATTATATATTGTCAATATGTAAAATATATTTCAAAATGACCAATAATTTGCTTGGAAACACAGAAAAAAAGCATTTAGTTGAAGAGAGTCTCAGCAATATGTTACCTGTGTGTTAACAGGCTGGATGGCACGCCAGAAACTAGTTTCTTTACCTTCAATTATGTTCAATAATTGTTAAAATGACTAAAATATTAATATTAAACTTAAAATTATTGAATAGTATAAACTTTGATATTTGCTAAAATAGAAGGAATTTGCCCCAAAACCGATTACTGTATTGGCGACTAATACTACAGCTGGTGGACTGCCAAATGCAAGCGAAAAACATGTTGAGGTCAGCTTGTAAAAAACTCGTTAATCGAGGGATTGCTCGTTAACCAAGTTTAGAATCTTATGGAAGGTAACTCATTAACCGAAATTGCTAACCGAGGCGCTCGCTAACCGAGGGATCATCATGTATTCCATTGAAAAACACTTCAATTTAGTGCTAATTCGATTTAAAGTTATCTTCTCTTGAACGTATCTCGCTAGATATCGACGTTTCTACTATATAATTCTTGAACATACTGGACATACAGTATTTACCACAAAGTTGATTTTGCTGTTGATGATTTATTTTTTAAATTCATATTTCTCCTTCAAACTTTTGTAGACACATTTCCCATAATCTTTCACAACTGCTAGCTTGTCCTTCAAACTAAACTCCTTTTTGGCCCTCGCCTGACTTCCTTTTGAAGTTGTCTTACCTTTTGGGAGCCATGGTAGTTAGTATACTCAGTCACAAATAGTCCACAGGAGTTAAGACACGCACATGTGGGCTGTAGCAGCATCACTGACTTGTAAACAAATGGCTGGGGCTGGCATTCGTGGCACCAGACAGTAATCAGAATTGCCATCCAGATTTTTCTCGGTTAGTCCAGATTTGTTCTGGATTAAATAAACCCCCTCTGGAAATTTGCTTAATATGGACTGGATTTCCTCCCAGTTAATCCGGATTAAGAGGGTTTATTATACTG